AACAACAGCAATCATAACAATTCACGTGTACAAAATACTTTCCACCGAAATCGCATCCCCGTCAGAAATTCCACTGAATCATAAACAGAGTCCCAAGGGGAAAGCTCTTATCGCTCACCACTCAGCAGGCAAGTTCACTGAAGCTCAGGGAGCTTGAACGATCCTTCCAGGATCCAGAATTAAGAAACTCAGGCTCGAGGTCCAGAGCATCTTAGGCTCCAACCCTGACTGCCATTTTCATCCTCTGACAGATATTTACTGAGCACTTAGCTGTGTGAGCTTGGGCAAGTGACTTCACCGCTCAGAACCTCCATTTCCTTCCTGTAAAAGAGTCCTAAGACCACCCATGAAATCCATGCCTTCCCTTGTCTGACAATGCCAGCCACCTGCCCTCCCAGATTTCCTTGCAGTAAAGCAAAAGCATGTGACCTACTCCAGGATTTAAGAAAACTCCGTCCAGGGCTCCTGGGAAAGTCTGAGAGAGTGGGGTGTAGGAGGAAAGGCCCCTTTCCACGGGCTGGACCTCATGTGTCTACATTAGAAACTGGAACTGGGGAGCCATCACGTAATAGGAGGCCTCCAGCCTGAATCTCAGCCACCTGCAGGTGCTGGCGGAGGAAAAAGAAGGAAACAGCTTAGAATCTCTGAGGCTGCCTTAAGCCACCGACAGAAACCTTGGAAAGTCCTGTTAAGTTGAAATGGAGGTAAATGGTTAAATTGGTGTCAGACCCAAAGGGCTCAAAGGAGAGGGAAAGAGGACCTCAACTTCTCTCTGAGCCGAGTGGAAGGCCAAGGCCAGATGGATGGAGCCTGGATGGAGCCGGAAGTCACCAACAGGAGGGGTGGGAGGGAGAGGGGCTTCCTGGAGGGGAGAGGCCACCAATAGAAACCCCAAGCGGCAGTAAACTGAAAAAAGGCCTTTTCATCCTTCCTACACGAAGTGTCCTGGGGTTGGTCTAGAGATTCAGCCATTCTCTTTGCCCCTTTCTTTGCCCACCCGCTCTCCAGCCCAAAGCGTTTAACTCCTTTGTTCTCAACCCTGGCCCGAAAAAACCTCAATGCCCTGGTTCCATTCCTCTTCTTCTGGGGCAGGCAGGTCTGCAGGTTTCTCCTGCCTCCTTGTCAATGGACCAGCAATGAAGCTGACTTCTCTTGTCAAATGACTTGCTGTGGGTCTCTGATCTAGCAAGCCCTGTCTTGGAACCAGGTGAGACAGTGCGAGACAGTGTATCTTCCTCCTTACAGAAGGGATTTCATGTTTTCTGTTCTGTCACTTGCAGCCCAAACTGGCAAATACCTGCTGAGTGGGTTGAAGGAATTCAGTGAGATAGTGTCTATCTAGTGCTGCTAACCATGGCCTGGCACCACAGACAAGCAGCTTCTTTGGACATTAGGAAACTGTCACAGGGCTTTAACCCTGAGACTGCTCCAGAGGACGCACACACACCTGGCCTGGCAAATCAGCTCCTCTCTTTCCTACTAAGATTGACCTTCAGAGTCTTCAGAGAAAGCAGAAACCCAGAAGTAGCCCAGCACTCCCACCCTGTCACTCAGGTGGGGTGACCCCGGCTTCCAAACAAGAATCAATCATGCTGCCTTTTGCCTAATGGATTTTGATTTTCACTCCCCTGGCAGTGAAGGCAAGGGCCTGTGTTTTGGTTTGTCTCTGAGTTGCCATCAATTATTAACAGCAGCCGCTCAGTCTCCCATCCTGGAAAGGATTTGCTGCGAGCCAGCCCACCCAGCCACAGAAAGGTCTCTGCCCCTTATTGTTTATAATAATAAGCCCCACCCACTAGGCGCTATGTGGCTAAGATTTCATGATCCTGCAAGATGGACTTTTTAATCCCAGTTTTACAGGTGGGAGGTAGGAGCCTAGAGCTGTGAAGAACTTGCCAAGATAGTGCCCCTGAGCCGAGAAGCTGTGTCTGCCCTCGCTCTTTAATCACAGGAGATATGCCATTTCTGTGTCTCACAACCATGCAGAAATGGCCCTCTATTCCACACGCTCACTCCGTGATCGCTGAGAAATTTCCATAGGCATGGCTGGTCTGACTTGACATTCAGATTGGTGGGGAGGGTTTTGAGAAGGGTAGGTGAAGTGCAGGGAATCGAAGGGGAGAAGGGACAGGAACCGGGTTGCAGATGGGCAGCGAGGAAGGAGTGGCAGATCTTTGAACCCTGAAACACCGCTGACAGATCCATCATTCACTCCACATAATTATCTGGAGCGTCTCTGCACCAGGCATGGTTGGTGCTGGGAATGGAGCGGTGCACGCAACTCTGACACGCACACTCTTGTGGGGGAGAAGCAGAGAAACACAAGGAAGCAAATATAATCTCAGATGGTTCATAAAGCTTATTCGGGAAAGATGTTGCACGATGCATTAGAGAGGGAGAGGGAGGCTGTTTCAGACAGAGGTCGGGGAAGGTCTCTCTGGAGAGGAGAAATGTGGGACAGCACCTGTTCAATGAAGAATGAGGCTGAGGGGCGAGCCCTGGGGAGGAGCATTCTGGGGAGCAGGGACAGCAAGTGCAAAGGTCCTGAGGCAGGATGAAACCTGAACTGTTTAGGGAACCACAAGGAGATCAGCAGACCCCTGAGCGAACCAGAGGAGAGGAGATGAGCTCAAAGAGGCCCAGGGGGCTGGGTTCAGCGGGAACTGATATAACACGGTGAGGGGTTTGAATTTTATTCTGAGTGTGATGAGAAACCTCTGGATGATTTTAAGTAGATGAATAATGAGATCCAATTTACATTTTGAAAAGCTCACTCTGACTGCCATGTGGGCAATGGATTGCAGGGTCAAAGGTGGACTGGAAGCAGGGAGATGGGGAGGAAGCTGTGCCACTTATCACTATAGAAGAACACGGGCTGATACACGTGGGCTTGAATGTCTGGATGTGCCTGTTTGCCTGCTGTGTGACCTTAGACAGTTTACTTAACATCTCTGTGCTTCCCGATCAGTGATCGGTGGGATAACAACAGAGTTGGTATAGTTCTGTTGCTACATCCACACACAGTAAGTGTTTGATCAAAGGCAGTCAGAATTTTCATGCTGAGGGCCAGTGAGCCCGCCTGCCTCCCCACTCCAGCTCTGGCTGCAGAATATCCTAGACCATCCATCTGCCAGGAATGTGAGCCGGCAGCTGGAGCTTGGGATCATGAAGAGGTCACGAAGCTCGTCCCTGGAAGTGGATTAACCCAAGGGAGAGATGAAGCTGTTTATTCCCAAACAGCGCCTTTTGCGAGCCTGAGTTTCCTCACCCTGTGCCAGACACAGCCCTTTGCCAGCTTCTTCTCTAGCAGGGGCCTTCCCCTGCCCTGCCCCTCACTCTCAAGTCTTAGGGACAGGACAGGGAAGGGAAAGGCATGTTTGGCCATCATGGGAGGTATGCAAGCAAGGATCCTGTCAGGCCTGGAAATAGCAAAATAAGTCTGTTGATCCTCTAAGCCGGTTAAGGGTGAGTGACTTTGTGTGAAGAGGAGGTTTTACAGACACAAAACCTGGGACAGGATTACGGCCAGAGGTAGCGCACAGCCTAAGAGGAAACCAGGCTTAGGAAACTCTACATCCTCCTTAGGGTTGACAGGGAAGAGAGGAGACACTTGGGCCTCCCTCCACGCTCCTACCAGCCACCTGCTCCTGCATCTGCTCCCAGCGGCCTCTCTTTGGGCAGTCAGATCTGGGGAAAGGACCTCCACAAAGTCTCCTTCAGACTCAGCCCTTCAGGGGAGCCTTGATCATGGGTCAATGGAGCCCCAGGGTCCCACAGATGAGAGGCCAGCGTGGACAAGAGGCAGCCTGAGGTTATGTGAGATGGCTGGCTTGTGGGCTTCCTGCTGTCCCTCCTTTGACCACAACACAGTTTCATGTCCCATCACCTCTTCCCTGCCTGCTGTAGGCCAGACTAGCAGAGTGGGAGCTGTCTTTCCCAGCATGGTCTTCCTGGATTTGGACACACCTCTCTTTCCTGGCTCATCCTGGGCCCACATGATCTTTGGATCTTTGCTTATAGTTGTCATTTCCTCTGCACTCAGCTTGTTGGGCGGTGAAGACAAGGCCCTGTCTCTCAGAGGCAACCCTGAATTGCAGCCTGTCGCAGAGAATTTGCTCATCAACCAGGGATCTCCTGCCTGGCCTGCCCCCTCGCCCACCCTCAGCCCAGCCCAGCCCCTGGCAGCTCCTGGCAGCCTCTGTCTTTGCCCACTGGTGCACAGACCTCCTCCCTGGCCTGTGAACCCGTTCCTGCTTCCTTCTCCTGCTTCTCTTTTCACACTATCTCGTTTTTTCTCTCCTATTTTGAAATTTGCATCCTCTTCTCAGCCAAAGCACTTTTATAAGCTGCATCAAACCATTCTTGGAAGAAGCTCACCACATAAATACAGAAAGAACATACCAGGGGGGACCCTACGCCCACTAGCATCCACAGCCGGCTGCATGCGACAGGCGGGCACACTACCCCCCCCCCAAGTTCCTTTATATACTTATGTTAAATACTTATGTTGAAACTGCCTGCAGTACCTCAATGTCCTCCAGGCATATCTGTAAGCTGTTTTCACTCCTTTCTTGGGGCAAAATGAGGATATAAATATATAAGCATTACAACGGCAGGGTGATGCACCTCCAGCCTGGGCAGGGACTCAGCAAGAACAGACCAAACTCTACCTGACTCCAGCCCTGCAAGACATCATGTCCCTGCGCTCTTATTCTCCAATGTCCATTCTCTTCCAGTGGGCTTTTAAAAAAAAAGTTTGTGTGGATCCTTTTCTCCAACAAAGTGGGGGTACAACACGTTGGATAATAACAGAATGGGATGACCAATGCCACCAGGAAAAGCCAGAAGGGTTTTGTTCTCAGTCACAGGACTGCTCATAGCCACTCCCCTTTCCTGGTCTTCAACTTTGAGAACTAAGTGGGCCCCCAGCCATGGGCCACACAGTCTGAGCACAGCAGACAGTGCCCCCCAGCAGAACAGCCCCCAGATTCCAGACTCACCTTGGCAGCCACAGAGGAATTGGGTTTCTCCAGCAGGTCCCAGAGCTTCTTCCTCTTCTCGGCGCAACACGTGTTATCGAATTCCTCGCCCTCTCGCTCACGGAGGGTTTCTGCCTCTCGCTTGAGCTCCTCGTTCATCTGCTCCTTTTTCTGGTGGTAACGCGCCTGGCAGCAGGACTCCAGGTAGATTTCATCGATGCCCCAGTAGTCGAGCTCCTGGCTGAAGCTGAGCGCGCACATCTCCTCCATCATGTGCAGCCGTCCAGTGCGGTAGAAGTTGAGGATGGAGGTGAAGGCGCCCGGATGGCGGTCAAAGAAATACTCGTTGTCGTCGAGGCTGTAGTCGTCGCACACCTCGAGCAGCGAGTCGTGAGTGTTGCAGTCGCGGAGCTTGCCCAGCCGCGTGCGTGGCAGGCGGTCCAGGGTGCGCCAGAGAACCTCGTGCGCCAGCCCCCCGACGTTGAGGCGGACGCGCCTGGAGCACGCCTTGCTGCGCACGATCTCCATGGGCTCCGGCGGCAGCGAGCTAGTGGAGCGGGAGCCATGCTTCGTCATGCCCGCCGGCATCGCTGGTCCGGCCGCCCCCTCCCCCCCTGCCCCCCCAGGCCGCTGTCACTGGACGGCAAGGCTGGCCGCCGCGGGGGAGGGGGGCAGGGAGTGCTGTGGGCAGCTGGGGGTGCAGGGGGCCGCGCAGGCACTCCTCACGGCCGTTTTCTCACCTCCATCCCGAAGGCTGCGAGGCAGAAAGCAGACGCAGGTCAGCAAACGGAACTGGAGCAGCCGCTTCCCAACCTCTCTGCTGGGCCCCCAGCTGGCTTGGACCGTCCCCAGCTTAAGCGGCTCAAGTAAGGCTGAAAGACTGGGCGCTGTCCTTCTTGCTGGTGCTGAAGACGGTCCCACCCCATGGATTTAAGGAGGGGCCGCCCTTCGGGGAGCAGTGAGGGCCCCCAAGAGGCACCTAGGGGGCCTGGAAGGCCTCACCCTCGGCTTCCAGGGCCCAGCCAGACCCAGCCGCTCGGGGCGCTGTCCGCCCCTTCGAGTGCTGAAACTTGTTTCTCTCTGGGTCTCCCACCAAGTCCCAGAATCAGGCCTCGCAATAAGAAAAGAGGGGTGCTGCCTGAAAAACTTTTTTTTTTCTAAAAAAGACTTCTCATCTTTTCCTCCCCTCACTCCAAGATAATTAGGATTTGAGGGCGGGAGGTGGGTGGGTGGCAGTGATTTCCCAAGATTTTTTTGGAAATCTTAGCGGGGGGGCTGGGGTGGGTTCAGTGCCAACCTGTCGGAGGTCACAACAGATGGGGTGGTCACGACAGCCTCGCTGTCCTGGAGCGACCCCTCTCCCCTAGCCTCGGGAGCCTCTCTCGAGGCTGCTTCAGCGACGAGGTGCGCTCTGTGGACTCAAAGCCAAGCTCTGCGCGGGGTCCCGCCCTCCCTCTGCACCTTCCACCCCACCACGGGAGGGGCGCAGAGTCCTGAGGGTCCACCTGCCTTAGCCGCCCCTCGTTTCTTCCCCGCCCCCTTCTTCTCCTTTTCTCCCTCCCTCCTCCTCTTCCTCCCTCTTGTCCCCTCCCCCCTCCTCCTCCTCTTCGCTTCTCTCCTGCGATGGCTTTTTATAACTCTGGGTTCTGCGCCTTTCCCGGGGCTTGGAAGGGAAGGGGTGGGGGAGGTGGGAGGCGGGGAAACGAGCTGAATTTTCTGGCCTTTTCAAAATATGCCCTCCTCAGCTGCGTACTGGTGATTTCCGGGGCTCCCCTGAGCCCCCCTGCTTGTGAAGCTCACGCCCTCTCCCCTGTTCAGGAATTGGGAGCGCGCGCCTTCTCAGGCCCCAGCCCTTACCCGCACCCCCCACCCCCGCCCGCTCGGGGCTGGAGCCGCGGAGCCAACAGGCCGAGGCACGGCAGGCGAGCCTGTCGCTCGGGTCCCCTCACGCACCCCCTCGCCGACCGCGCGCCGCAACACTCACCCCCAGGACGGCCGCCTCCCGGGGCCAGGGACCGCGCATTGC